GCTATTTATTTCAACCATAGATTTTTATTTTTGATGCCTGGGTCCTTTTTGGTACTTTCCAATTATCAATCTAATTTTAAAAAGGTATTTTTAATCTTCAAAATTTTAATGCTTTCTTTTAATTATTCAAGACCACAATAATGTAAAAGATACTTATTATATATTCTCTTTCAGACTAGCATATACTGTAAAGCAATCAAGGCCCTTGATCTTAAAAAAAAAACTGTTCATGTTTACTTGTGGCAGATTATGTCCTCATACATTTTATACTTGTGATTCACTATAAAAAGGGCTTGATTTTTACCTGTGACAACTTAGCTATGACAATATTTGTCCAGAGAGAAAATATTTGCTTTTGTTGGCTGTACACTAAGTCTAACCTGAAATTAACTTCCCTCTTCCTTTCCTGTCCCTTTCTGTCCTCTGCCCTTTCCTTCCCTGCCTTTCTTCGCTTCACATTTCCTTTTTGTTTTAATTGTATTTTAGTGGACAGGACAGTCCTCTACTGGGGTGTAACACAGAGCTATTTTAGAAGGGTTGATGTTTCCCCAAGAGTGACAAGATACGGGCACTGAGGATGATCAAGACTTTTGCCCATATGCAAAATGCACAATCTATGAAGCACACTTATTTTAATAACATTTAATCTATATAAAGTTAATCTACAGAAGGCTGAGTTTCTCTTTAGAAAATACCTTTCATGAGGTATGAACTCATCTATCATGAATTCACCTATTTATGGTGTACAATTCACAGAGCTATGTAATCATTATCACAAGGAATTTTAGAACTTATCATTACCCCCAAAGAAGCCCCACACCCTCTTCTGGGAGTGTCTTTTTGTGGTTTCCTTAATGCACTGAATTAATTCAAAATATATACAGTAATTTGTGTCAAATAAAAACCTCATGATGTTTCCTCATCTTTCCTCAGTCACCAGATCTGGCACCATGCAGCTCCTGCATCTCCCCCACCATCAGAATGATTGCAAATGGTAAACATTCTGAGGCAGTTCAGGACCTCAAGTCAGCCACGACAGCACAGCTAAAAACATGAAAGATGACTTCGAGAAGTACTTCAGAAAGTGGTGAGAGCTGGCGTGGTGGCACACACCTGTAATCCCAGCACTCAGAAGCCTGAGACAGGAGGATTGCCTCGAGTTCGAGACCAGCCTTGATTACTTAGTGAGATCCTGTCTCAAACAAACAAACAAACAAACAAACAAACAAACAAACAAACAAACAAAGGAAACAGTAAAAAAGAAAGCGGCAAGAATGATAGGCTTAGTGCTTTTGAAGTGAGAGGGAATATTCTGAAGGGGATTAATAGCAATATGTCTTTTACTATAATCAATTAAAAATTAAATTAGCTATAATTTTTTATCATACTTTGCACCTAGCAGTGGATCTGCTGTGTGATATGGGAGCTCTATGCTTAATCTTTTGAGAATGACCAGTTACTTTCCAACGTGGCTGCACCATGTTATATTCCCATCAGCTGCATGTGAAGTTCTAATTTCTCCACACCCTCACCAACACTTGCTATTATCCATTTTTTTCTACTTTAACTGTCTTAGGGCTATGAAGTGATACCTCATTGTGGTTTTGATTTGCATTTCCTTAATGGCCAGTAATACTAAGCATCTTTTTATATGTTTATTAGCTATTTGTCTATCTCCTTTGAGGAAATGTCTATTTAGGCATTTGCCTGATTTTTAACTGAATGATTTGTCTTTTCATTGTGAAGTAAGGAGAATCTATGTATTCTAGATACAAGCCTCTTGTTAGATACATGACGAGAAAACACTTTCTTTTTCCATTTTCTATATGATATTCTGTGAAGCACAAAATTCATTCTGATGAACCCCTATTTTTTCATTTACTGCTTGTGCTTTTTGTTTCTGGAACTCAATTCTTCATTATTTCTCTTTTGGAAGTTTCTGGGACCATTCATAAAGCGAACACCCAGAATTCAAACTTGAGTCAGACACGGGACTTAGAGATAATTTTCCCTGTCCACAGTCTAGGCAGACAGCCAGCCTCTGCGGGCAGGTACCTTTAGCCTCCTTATGGAAGAACCTTGTCTTCACATGGTGTTCAGGATCTCACCCCACACCCCTGACTAGGGGGTGACCCTCCCACTCCTCAGGGGCAACAAATCCCAAGTCCTTACAGGATGTGAATGGACTGGCTGCCCCACCTGCCTGGCATAACCCTTGCTTCTCAGCATTAAGTTCCCTTTATGCTGCTCACATTAGGTGATTTCACTGTTTTCCTTCCAAGTAATCAATAAATTTAAATTAAAAATATTTTATCCATAATTTTCTAGTTGGATATAGCAAATTAAAAAAAAAATTTGATAGGTCTGCCTCTTACTGGATTTATCCCTTAAAAATTCTCAAGTTCTTTTCTTTGTCACAAAGATTCAGATGTTAATGATAACGGAGCTTTTTGAAAACCAACATGGTCATAGTCACAAGCCATGTATCAGAACACCTCAGTCTTCTTTGACCTAATAGGATCTGTGGTGGGAAGTGAGTCCTGGCTTGCTTTGGCAAACCTCTCTCTAAACACCTTTCTTCCCAGAGGTCTGCTGGGTCATCAAGCCAGTGAGTCTGCAAGTGGTTCTCGTTAGTGGGTTCCTAGGTTCACATTATGCTGACAGTATCCCCACCTGACAACAGTTCTGTCTCTGTCCTGTGTTGAGGGGCTCTTCCACCTACTTCACCACCTCCCAGGAGAAGATTAGGAAGAAATAAAGCCGCAAGCTCTGTGATTGCTTTGGCTTGGAGATGGCTCTAGAAATCCAACTGTGTCCCTAGGATTGCAGGGTCCGCTCTGACCTGTCTGTTGTCTGTCATTGGCAGGAGGGAGTAAAGAGGATGAGAAGAGGGCCTCTGCCTGGTGCTCCCTGAGCTGTAACTGCACAGTAATGCAAGGGAATGGCCTTTGTGCTTACATTGCATAAGTGTGTGGAGACCCACTGGCACCCCTGCTGGCTGGCCCCTGGAGGTGAGGTGCTGGCATTTTGACACATGGGTGATCTGATACAGCCACACAGTGCCCAGTGGGCACTGAGTAACAAGCAGTGGGAGCGAGGACCTGTTTGGTTCATCAGGCCAGCCATCTCCTCACTCCAGCTCTCCTCATAGACCTTACTGCCACCATGGCCCATTTTTTGTGTTCTTTTTCAGCACTGGGGCAGGCATCTGTTCCTCTCTCCCTCTCAACTGCCTTCAACCTGAGGATGTCTGCCCCAAAGCCACCTCCAGCCAGCCAGGAAACATATGCCCACTGTGTACTCTTAACTCCCCCCACCTGGCTGACTAGACTTTTCTTCGAGGTACTGGCATGCACTTGGCCTTCCCAACTCATTCTTCCAAATATTTCCTGTCAAAGTCAGATTGGATTTTAAGTATCTCCTAATGCAGTTTTCAACATTTAAATTTTTAATCAATTAATTTTGGTATTTTGAACCACTACCGTTACCACGGGGGACTTCCTCCAATGGTGTGGCATGTGGAGGGGAGCAGAGAGGTTCTGGCTGGGGAGTGGGCCTGGGCTTTTCCAGCGCTCTGAGTAGAGATGGCCACTGATGGCATCACTACCTCTTACCTCCTTCCTGTCCCTCCTCAGGTCCTAAGGCAAACTCTCTGATGTGTCTGTCCCCTGGGAGCCTCCAGGAAGGAATCTCACATGAGGCTCAAAAAATACCACTGAGTCTGTAATGGAGCCACAGTGAGGCTTAACACAGTTACCAAAGAGAATCATTTGATGACAATAAGGAAAATGAAGACTTCCTGTGGGAAGGAGTAGGGGGCTGGATCTTCACCTTGGACTTCTGATATGGTTCACACCTTCCCCTCACCCTTGTGTAGACTCATGTCGGAGTTTATTCTAAGAGCTCTTCCTAACAGCCTTGCTCAGTCTAGAATGAACAACTCCTCAATGTGTCAAGTCCATGCTGTGACATCTGTCAAGGATGGGAGGGGGCATCTGGCCCCTTTCTTGTCAGACCACCTTGCCAATGTGAACTGGGCAGAAGGCTGATCCCTGTTACAGTCTTTGCAGAGTATGTGCTGCACCCCTCCCATTGTGTTTGTATGAGTGAAAGCTACAGAGATGCTGAAACTGGCTTCAGTCCCCCCATAAAGCCTAGAAGATGAAGGGACAGGCTTGTCATCAGCATACTGCAGGAGAGACCACTTGGTGTTGATCAAAGATACTTGTTTTCTCCCTGACAATCAGCAGTATCCTGTGACCAAGGCTGAAGGAGAAGAGCAGGGTGACCAGGGCATTTCTTAACAGGCTTCCAGAGGGACATGTGCCCCTTCTTTGCTCTTTCCCTTTCCCCTGGGAACAGATGGTGACTAATCCCATGGTATAGCAAAAACTAGGTCATTGAGTCACCTCCTGGAAGAAGTCCACTCACCCACCAGGAACCCATCTCAGACTGCACGAAGACTGAAAAACCAAATTCTATTTGGGGATGCATCTGTTACTGCAGTAAATCACTGAGCATACTATCCATACTGATTTCTGAAGGGGAGAGCCTGGACACATTACAGGTTAAAGATTCTCCAGTGGATCTTTACGCATGCCTCCTTTTCATTATTGGTAGCAAAATTATCCCTAACTTAAAGTGTTGTGACCAGCCTGTTTCACTGGATCTTTACGCATGCCTCCTTTTCATTATTGGTAGCAAAATTATCCCTAACTTAAAAAGTCATGAGTCCAGCCTGTTAGAATTCATCACCAACTTCAAAGAAATGGCTTGTGCCCCAGTGGAGTTTCACCTGAACTTCTTGTGAGGCTTGTCTAACAAGAGCTATGTGGTAGGCACACCTGGCCTAGCCAGTGGGCAGGAGTGTACCAACATAGACACAAGTGGGACATGCTAACACGATGCCACTGGTTTGTGATTTGGTGACTCAGGTTTATCATGTCCCATCTCCAGTGAGAGGTGGAGAGGCCATGTCTTGGGACCAGCCCTCCTCTCACCTGACTCTCGTGTCCGGCCACGCACCACCTCGCTCCAGGGCCCGGCCCCGATGGCATTGAAGGCCTGCATCTGCAGCTCGTACTCCGTCCACTCTTCCAGCTCCTCGATGGTGAGCTCCCTCTCCAGCCGGTCGTTGACGACTTGGGCCAGTGCCGTGAACGGGAGGTCTGAGCGCCAGTACTTCACCCGATAACCCACGGACTCTGGGTTCCCATTGTACTGGGAATCGGGCAGGGGCTGGCAATGAGTGAAAGTCTGTGAAGAGCTGATACCGCAATACTGTTGCCTTTCAAGTTCTTAAAGGACAGGCCTATCTGATAGAGCCAATTCCACCAAAAGCATTTTCTTGGGAGAATATTCTTAGACCCTTATTCTATTTGTCTTTCAAACTTTTCTTCTGCTAATTAAATGAAACCCTGTTAGTAATGAGCTGGACATAATTTCTTTTAATACATTTTGGCTTAATTTTGTGGAAAATGCTCCGATTAAACATCAGGCTGGCTGTCTTACAAATACTACCGAGTACTGGTTCAGTTGACTGAGCTTAAAGACTCATACAGGTCTGCATTCCTTCCTAAAGAGCAGCCCTCATCCCAAGAACAGAGGGAGGAATGCTGATAATGTTATATCCTGGGCTGCTCTAGATCCTATACTAAAACTGTAATGTGTAATACTTTTGGGTGTAGCAATGGGATTAGTCTGGATGAAGAAAAGACATGACTAAGGAATAGCTAAACTCCGAGTTTCCTGGCAAGCTATGGCGTCTATAGGACACAGCCCTGCAGACCCTAGCTTACCACCCAACGCAGAAGCAGGCTGGTCTCACTGGCTGTCCGTACTGTGATGCTGGTGGGAGCCACGTCAGGTGGGGCCTGCAGGGTCTGGATGACCCGGGATGACGGGCTGAAAGGGCTGGAACCAACGATGTTTACTTGCCGCATTCGAAATCTAGGGGAGAAGTCACTGACAAGAGTCACCCCAATGCAAAAGGTAATAACATACTTCACCCAGGACCACTTCTCAGGGAAGGGCTTGGGCATGTGTCTACCTGTATCACAAAGGCCATGGCTCAAGGACACACTCTTTCTACCTGGTTTCATTTAAAATGCAAATCATAAGGCCAGCCCTTTTCCTGAACCATTTTCGAAGCATGGTAAATCTCTTCAACTCATGGAGGTTAAATTCCCAAGTGAAGCATCACTGGATGAGGCAGATGGCCAAACACCCATGTCATCAGCTGCCACTGGCTGGTCCTAGTATAAGAAGTGGCTTAGGAATTAAGGTTCAAGTGCTAGTCAACAGAACTAAGAGTTACAATGCTGCTACTAAAGGACAGTTGGAAAATCCAGAGCCTTTTTAATGCCCCAGGGAATCCCACATCCACTCTCTGTTGGTTCCAGAGGAGCATCAATGGCCAGAAACCTCCCCTGAAACCCCCAACTTCCAGTAAATCAGACCTCTCTGTTTATTTATCCACAAGGTGAGGTGGGGGTGGGTGCTCTTCAAGGTGTGTGTTAATGCTTTTTCTATTCTGTCTTTGTTCTATGTATATCTATAGTTATTTGAATTGAATTTATATACAATAAAAATCTCAAGTATTGACACATATTTATTACAGAGGTTCCTTAAATTTATAGGAATTTAAGATAGGGACAGTGATCTCTAATCATAGTTTCTGATCTTTGGAATAATTATAGAGCTTTGGCTAATTTCACATGGCAAATCTTGAATCCCAGCAGCTCATTTTAAACTAATGTTTTTCTCTGAAAATGAGTGTAATATGTCTGATTTGTCTGCTCTTAAGCTTAGAAAAGATGTTAAACTGAATACATGCTAAAACGTGCCTCTTATTAGGTTTTTTAAACTGTAACTTTGATATTGTACTGAGAAAATGTGCTTCATGAGGTATAATTTCACCTTTTACTCCCTGAATTAGTAATTCTTATTCTTTCATTCCCTGATCTCATGAAATGTATCCATCCTGGCAGAACAATGACATTATCAAACTCAACATCTGGTGATAACTGGAAATTTCATCTTTTTCAATGTTCTTACGGGAAGTTATAACATCACTAACAGCTCATGATCACTTTATCCTTTGTTAAGGCCAAGGATTTACTGCTTGGATAAGTTTCAGGATCAAGAAGCAAAAGGTTAAATGGCATGTTAAGTGCTTGATTGGTAAGACTAGCAATGCCTGGGTCCAGACAGAGGCAGGCAGAAGGATATTCCTAGGACATATGCTTTGTTTGCACACAGCATGTTAATAGCCCCAAGAGGTTGGACAGTTCAGTAGGAGAAACGCCACATCTCCGCAGCCTGCTTGGTTCTGGTTATCATGCTGAATACAATCGAGAGCCCTTTCTATGGGGTACTCTGCAGTCTAGTACCGGTGGAAATAACGTGGTCAAACTTAACTAGGTGTCTTGCCTGTTTCTTAAGTTTTTGGTTTACTATTTATTGATTGCTACTTGGGAACTTCTAGTTTACACACAAAACTGGGTTTGTTCTTGCCAACAGAAGCCACCTGCTCAAGATGCTCTCACCTGTAGTGGGTGTAGGGCGTGAGATTTGGGATTTCCAGAGTCTGGGCATCAGGCTCATTCTCTTCCTCGTAGAGGCAGACCCACTCCTCCTCATCGCCGATGGCGCCAACCTGTGGAGAAGGAGCCTGAGTCTGGCTGGACGTACTTTGGGGACTGAGGCTGCCCTGGTGTATGCGCCAGGGTGTGGTAGTGGGCTGGGTTCTCATATACCCTCTGTGCCTTCTTCTAAGGCACCGGCTCTTACTCTTCTCACCACCAACTCTGGGGGGGTTTTAATTCAAAGCTCAGTCAAGACTGGGCTATACAAGGGTGGGACCTGAGAGCATCTCTGTGGCTCACAGACCACTGGCTTATCCTTTGTCCCATTTGACAGGTAAGGACTCTGAGAGGTCCAGAGAGATTCAGCCAGATCCCACATGGAGCAGTGACAAAGCCATGGGCACAGGAACCTTTACTCGGGCTCTGTTTCCACCACAGGGACTTATTCTCTCCCCACATCTGCCTCATATACTCTCCCCCAAGTTCATCTGCAGGACTTCCTGCTGGCTGTGGATAAGGAAGGTTTCATACAGAGGACAAAGCTTCTGCCCTGGGAGCTATGCTTGGTGGCCCTCTGTGCCTGTATGCAGAGCTGACCCAAGAAGAGCAATCTCCTCTGTCCCAGGCTGCCATACAAGCCCCCTGGGGTACCCTCTGTGTACCCTCTCCCAAACCTTGGGACTTGCCAAATGTCTTTTGCTGGTTTTGTTCCTTTTATTCCCTTCTGTGACCGCCATGCCCTGTCTACCTGCTCAAAAGACATTTTCACTTCCTGTGACCCCTGACCCCAGCCTTGCCTCTCATTCTGCCTCATAATTTCCTGTTACTGAAACCCACCTGCCTGATGTGGCTTCTCCTTCTGCTCACACCAACATGACCACACCCCTGGCTCCAGTATGCTGATGCCACCTGGCTAGTCCCACCCAGAGAGCCCAAGGGAGACACCATGGCCTAAAGCCAGCTGGAAGGCCCTGATCATTCCTCTACTTGGATCATGTCCCTGCTGCAGGAACACTCCAGGCCATGTGAGACTGTATGGTACTGTGGGACACAGGGCCTACACACAGAGTATATGGGGCCAAACAAGCTGAGGTTAAGCTGGGATCAGCCAGGGCTCTCACATTTGACCCTTCGTAAGTGACTTCAATGACAGAACAGGAGTCAATCTCACTAAGTCTGCAGGCAGCCAAGTCATAGTGGGAGGCCTGAGAAGTCAGGATGACCTTGGCAAACTGCAGAGCTGGGGAGGGGACAGTAGGTGGCTGCTTCCTGAAGAATATAGAAAGCAAAGTGTAAAGCTCTAAATACTTTAAACTAAAATGAGGAAAGTAGATGGCTCCTCAATGAACTAAATTAAAACTCAATGAACTAGAGTCCCATAGAACCCTGTTTTTCCACATCTAGTATAAACCCAGAAGAACTAAAAACAGGGTCATGGGCAAACTCCTGTATGCAAAGGTCCATAGCCAAAAGATGGACGCAGCCAAATGTCCACTTTTACAGACACACGCATAGTCTACACAACCAGCCACAGAGAAGAACAGCTCATGGACACAGGCCATCATGTAGATGGACCTCAAAACATTCTGAGTGAAAGAAGCCAGAGCCAGAAGTCTATGTGTGTGCTATACATTTCTCTTTAGGAGATATGCAGAGGGTCTCTTCCATAGAGATAGGATGCAGGGCTGTGGCTGCCAGGGGCTGGGAGAGGAAAAGTGAGGAGCAGCTATCAGGTACTGAACCTCTTTTGAGGGTGACAACACTGTTTTAGTACTGTTTAGAGGTGGTGGATGTACTAATTTATGAATTGCACTCTTTAAAATGGTGGATTTTATATTACGTGAATTTCATCTCAGTTTAAAAAAAACATTAAAATAAAATGTGAAATGTTGGCTGAAAATAGTGGAGAAAGATCTGGAGGTCAAAGTAGGTAAGAAGCAGCTGCAGATTCTTGAGAAGCAAGGCAGCTGAACTGGACCTCGGGGTGAAGATGCCACAGTCTGAGCGGCTGGAGGCAGAGGAGAGAATGCCCTTGTGCTGCTGCCAGCTTCTTCTCAGCACCATGCCCGCATCCTGGTCTCTGCAGTGGGGATCGCTCCTGTGCTTTTTAGTTCCTAGCTTCTCTGCACTTGAGTAAGGGGGGAGTGGATGTCAGGCAAATTGAATTTATGCCCCAAGCCTCCAAGGTCTGACTGTGGACACTTGTCTACCTCTGCAGAGCAACTTCTTTTCTTGGCCACCTGTCACCCTCCGGCCCACTTTTCTGACTCCCCCGCTGGAGGAAGTCTGGGATCCTGGGTGTTGGGGCTCTTTCAGTCTGTCTGTCTGGCTTGCTGGCCCTGGACACATTCACAGGGGTCAGGCTTCCAAGACCCTGTGGACGCTGTGGCACCCCGTGACTGTGGTGTGCTCTTGGCCACCTGTGCTGTTGCAGGGTCAGCAGTGGTCATCTGGCTTCATGAGCCACATGACCGTTTCTCCCACATGACCATGAGGAACAAAGAGGACTGGCAAAACTGGGATGCTGCCCAGGGGAACAAGGGAGGTAGCCCTGGGCTCTGGATGCGCAGGAGAGCAGGGAAGAGTGCCTGACACAATGTTAGCAAAGATCTTGGGAAATGACAGCTATGCTGCTGGGCTGAGGGGCCATGGGACCTTGAATCTCCATCCTCCTTGGATCAGAGAGTCTTCCGAGGCTCCACTGTCACTGTCCCATCGTAGGTCCCTAACCTGCCACTGGGGAATGAATGTGTGGTATCTGCATTTTCTATTTTGCTGTGTATGTTCCACAATTCAGATCTAGAACCAAAGCAATTAGGACAACAGAGAAGTTCAGTAGCTTAGCCCAAGGTCAGACATCCCTGTCCTTCCCATCCTGCTGGCCTCCCTTCTGTAAGACATCAGTCTGAATGGGGGCCAGGTTACTGGGCAGCTCAGGTGGGTCCACCTGCCTCTGCCTGGCTCTGCCTGCTGCTTCCCCTGCAATCCTGGTATAGCATCATTTGAAGGCATCACATGGTCACAAACACTTGTCCCCTTGCCTCTCCAACATGTCTGCCCCTCCGACCCTTCTTAAAGTACCAGCAGGCATCTTTTAGAAGTCTCTGTGAACAGAAGCCTCCTTTCCCTCACTCTCCCTACAGCTTCCAGGATGTGGCATCCTGATCCATGTTCTCAGGCCATCTGACGATTTCCTTACAGTGCCGAAGATACCCATCAAAGCAGGCATTTAAACTGTGATGCATACCCACACAAGGTGTGTGATCAGTGAGGGAGAATAGTATGAGTCAATGCGGAGTCAGAAGAAGAAAGAATGCCTAAATACCGGAAAGTTAGAAATAAAACTGGTTACAAAAGTGACAGAACTGTGACCTTTGGCTTAGCAATTTTCAATCTTCAAAAAGATAGCTTCTAACATCACAGACTGCAGGCTAATCAAACAGTAAACCTCATATAGTTATATTTCTTTTTCTCTTCTCTCTCTCTTCTTTTTTTAGATAGTGTCTCACTATGAAGGCCATGCTGACCTTCAACTCACCATGTAACTCAGGCTGGCTTCCAGCTTGTAGTAATCTTCCTGACTCAGCCTCCTGAAGATCAGAGGTCTGCACCACCAGGACTGGCCACAGCTATATTTCTCAAGGTAGAAAACCCACAGGAACCTTCTCAAACAAGGTTTGACTCCAACAGCCAGCAAACTCTGGCCCATGGGCCAAATATGTCCAGTTTCTTTTTTTCTTGTTGTTAATAAAGTTTTATTGGAACACAGGTATGCCTGCTGAGCTGCAAAAGTTGCAGTGAGACCATCTGCTTGGAAAGCCAAAAGGACTACAGTGAAAACACCAGTCTGCTTAAGTGTGCCTGTCAAAAGTACAAGGTGAGCTACTGCTTTATATCCTCTCCACCCTGTAGGCTTTTTCTGCTGTGTCAACTGAAGCAGGGGCAAGGTCCTACTCATTACAGTATCTCTGGCATCTCCCCCAAAGTCCAGCCTAGACTTAATGCTCAGTCCTATTTGTTTAACAGATGAACAAATGCACAAGTGAATATGTGAGTGACTCCAAAATCAATATTAAAAATGGGTTGCTAAGCATGCAGTTCCACAACCAAGTTATTACCCAAAACATAACTTTGCTACTAGACCTCTGGGGAAGAAGCCTACATTCCAATAATAGAAGATTTACATATTTATGTAAGGAGGCCACATTCTCTAATCCTTACTGGTCTCTTCTGGATCACTGGTTAGACTTCAAGACCATGATCATGGAGTGTCCTGAAGTAAATGTCTGCTCACTAACAACATGCTGCACATAGACAGACAGAACTCTTCAAAGATAAAACAAATTGAAGCTCCCCTGGGGAGGCTGGGATTTTTGAAAGGCTCTACCCTCCTTCTTTTAAAGCTAACAAAACAGCACTTTACAATACTTATTACAAAAGCAGAAATGCCACACATTTCAAATGCCACTCAACAGGGGGCAAGTCCTTCAACCCCATTAAGGAACACGTGGTCCCTCCACTAAAGCCACAGGAGACCTGCCACCATACTGTGTCCCCCCAGGAGGACCATTGGCTCTGCTGCTGCCTCCCGGGTCTATCCTATATTTGGCACCTGGCTGGACCCCTTCAGACATATGCATTCATTTAATAACTAAGGGTCCCAGATCTCTCTTCTATCAGACTTGACTTGAAAGCACTGGGAAAGCCACTTGGTTCAGCTGGGACTCTGGGAAGTCTCAAGGGGATGTGCTGACCTGGGAAGAATCTCAGATGCTCCTACGAGGAGGCTCTGTGGCTGCTCGTCACCCCAGAGGCCAGAAGTTTGATGGCTACACAGAGGACAATCATTAACCTCAGGGAAAGGAGAGATACCCCTGCATACTGTTCATAGAAACCCAAAAAGCACTGCATCCCGCTCAGCCAGAACCCTGCATTGACAGTATCCTGCACAGCCAGCAATGTCTACAGACACACAGAACTTCTCCTGAGTGGCAACCCCCTGTGCCATAGCCAACCGGAAGTTTCCCTTGCTGGAGGGTTCAAGGAAGGTGTGTAGAGTGGGGTAGGGGAC